CCCCAAGCCCCCAAACCGACATCAGGGAGGGAAGCATATTACCTTGCTAGAATCCATGCGCCCCTGGGCCAACCCCACGAGTGATCGAGAACGTGCCCGACTCGCTGTGGCATAGCCTTCGTAAAGCCTGAATGGTCATTTGGATATAGCTTCTTGCTCCTAGTAGTATGGCCAGGAGCCCCTAGTAGCTTCTAGTAACTAGTAGCCTGGATCTTCAAAGGGCACGCAATTTTTGCCGGAGACATGTTATGTTTCCGTTTCTTTTCTATTTTCTGCCGGTGTCCGCGTCTGTGGAAAAAGACAACATTATGGTATATGTTGTGGCATTGTTTTCTTGAAAAGGCAATGATTCGTGCCGTTTGGAAGATCGTATTTACTTGGATTAAACCATCGATCAGTCATGTTGAATTGGCCTTCGACCATACGGACGTTACTACAAAGGGGTTACTACAAAGTGACTTGCCGCCGTAGCTTGTTCAACGTTGTTTTCACAAACGTTCCAGTGTGTCGAGGCAGTACCTCCTCAGCCGGCCAAGCCCACAGAGGAACGACCTATGAAAGGGCTTTTGTCTTGCACTGCGGGTCTTCAGCTCACGGTGGTGGCGTGTGTTGAGGTAGCAGGAGAATCTTCACAGCTTTCGTGGCTGTCCCCTGGTATAGGCATGAATAGGATTGGATAGGCCATGCATGATGTGTTTTTTAAACTAGCTTTCAAAGGAATGGCTTGTTGTCCCTTTACGCGAGTGGATATTGAGCGCCCCATCGCATCCCTGTCCCCGCACCACACCCTGGGTAGATATGGCTGTGAGACTCAAGCCATAAACCCTGGTACATTGACCCTTTCCAGTCTACACTATTCTCTTCATTGGGAAAGACCGGAACCGGAACCTGCATCTGATTTTGATCTAGGAACAGGAAGCTACTAGGTGGAGGCCATCGCTAGTAGGTTGGAGAACAAGAGGCTTCGAACGTAACAAGAGGCTAAGCGGCTAAGAACGTAGCTAGAAGCTACACACGGTGGAGGCCATCGCTACGAACGTAACAAGAAGCTACGAAGGTAGCTGGCATTCGAGAGCAGGACCGATCCGCTCGCAGACTCGCTTTTCAACGCAGGAGGTGCTCCTGTTGGATGTGGTGCCGAACAGTGCCGCCTTAGTGCAGGTGCCGTCCGACCGTGTGGGAAGCAGTGAAGACCAGGGTGTTTATATATAGGGGAGTTCTATGCGGATCTACCTGTGCTAAGTCGATGGAGTTAAGGATATTTGAGGGTGCCACAAGGAGATCCTGTATGATTTTGGCTTGGTAGGCTTAAGCATGGCAGGTAACAGATGTTGATTTTGCAGGTCGAAGCCTATTTATTTGCTGGTTTGGGTTGTTATATGAGCTGCCGAGATGCCTTTAGAAGCCAACACAGCAGCCGAAATGGATGGCATCAGCTGAAGTTTTGCTTCGACCGCTCAAACTGGGAACTTTTGGCTGCTATCCAAGTCTCCAAGCGGAATTCATGCAAATCCCTCTTGAGAAGCGGCAATGTGGCAACTTTGTGCCTGTTCCACGGCTTGACGTCCGAATGACCTTGCATTGCTTGACTGGACCGAAGAGCGACCTAGGGAGGGTTTTTGGGAAGGGTGTTTCCTTGTACAAAGGAACTTCAAGATCGTGGTGTGGTTACTCATATCTTACGACTTCAGGGCTGACGACGCCGCTCATCAATCACGCCTTCGCGGTGCGCGCCAGTCTCTCCACACCAGCATTGAAGCAAGGCTGCTGTCTCAGTTTCGGGGGGACCAAAGGGGTGCATGTGCGCATCCACTCACAATAGTCATAGCCATGGATAGCCAGATGTAGTTGCGGATGACCAATTTGCCCACTGGTTTCACTCGTTGGTCATGAATCGGCGGGAAGAATGGTGCTTCAACACTCACGAAACTCACAAATACTCACAAGACACCCTACTTGTAGTCTGTCCCAACTGACATCAGCTGCAACTACTTGTGCAGGTCCAGTAGTTGTCATGACCTTTGTCATGACGCCCAAAGATAACATGATCAACATCAGTCAATCACTTTGCGAAAAGGTCGAAGGAGAAGAAGATCCAATTCGCTGCCGATGTCCGCTGTCGATGTCCATTCGTTCGACTGCAGGCCTGGCGTCAGCCACATGCATTTCGCTCAGCCGCCAGGCACCACCGGAACGAACACGTCGAGACGTGACGAAACGAGAAGAGAAAGGCACGCCTTCTGCGATCGATGTTCCATCTGTTGTTTCTGAAAATAATAGATCTTTGTTCAGGTGGAGATGCTATTCCATGCTCTACTATGGACAATTCCGTCACTTTCAAGATATGATAGTGATAACATGAAGGCGACACTTGCGAGGTTGCATGCGCCGCCGCCATCAAGCTGGCTTTGCCTTATTTTCCTGCGAGCCCGCTGGAGCCGTTTGGTCAAAAATAACGCACAACCTTCTAGGTGAGCTTCGATGTCAATGCTCTGGTGTCACAGCAAGGCTCAAGAGCCTTGCAGCGACACCTTCGCATCGTGCGTGGCTCCCATGGCATGGATTAGTGCGAGAACGCGGGATTTGGACGTTGTGGAAGCAGGGTGGCACGCCTGGCCAAAATTTCATGGAAGTGGGAGGATAAGCTTGGTGAAGGAACGTTCAAGGAAGCCTACATGACAAAAGTGGAGGGGCAAGGCGATTACTATGGCCACAAACCGGGAACGAAGTTGGTGAAGTTCATCAAGCCCGAGCGGTACAAAAGTATATACAAAAGTGGAGTTCGAATTACCGAGAAGGATGTTGGTGCCCAAAAACTTGCACAGCAATATGCAAAAAGGTTTCAGAAAGAGCATCGACCGCACAAAGGTGGAGAACCCATCGAAGTGTTTTTTCGCGTTGCACAGCTGATTTCAAGTTCTCAAGACTAAGACAACTCCAACAATGGCAGAAAAATGATGCTAAAGGACGAGAACTTGCTCGTCGAACTTCCCATCTATGGTGACTTCGAGAAATTCAACTCGAATACTGGATGGTCGTCAGGAGTTGGTCTACTACCTGATGCCGCCATTGGACCTGGGTGGAGAGCAAGGGGCAGCATTTGCGATCTCCAGGGCCATCGTGGCGCTCCCGGTGGGGTCAAGCTTGGCTGTGAAAACAGGTACTATACTATGCCTTTTCGGACCCTGCAGTGCTGAGCCAAGTCGCTGGCGGACCCGCTGATCGAGAGAAGGGGCAGCGATCACGTGGGTTCACCAACATGTGTGCAACGATTTTTGCAAGTCACTCGGCTTAGAAGGCAAAGTGCCACAATGTCGACAGAGCCATCATCAACGCCAAAGCCACACAGTGTATAGGCCATCCGCTAGGCAAAATACAGGAAGCGTTTGGGAGCAAGGCCTGCATTCGGTAGCTCCATTCCCTCTGCCTGACTTGGATTTCCGAAGCCTGCGACTTGGCTTTGTGGGTGACTGGCTGGGTAAAAGAAGTTGCAAGAGTCTGACTTGTCCGGTTCTGCGGTTGAACTGAAGGGTAAATTGGTAAAGAGTCACTGAAAGAATGGTGAAGCTAAAATTAGGCCAAGCATAGGAAGCGAGCAACGCAAATGTCCAAGAGCTTGTTCCTCCGAAGCATGTCCATGCACCAACCCAAGCCCTCCACTCCCACTCCAACCCTCGTGTAGGTAACGTGCTTGCGCCTTGGCGGGCAGAAATCACAGGCACTCCTAGTGCGTTGCAGCAGGCTAGGGCAGAATCAGGAGGTGGCAACTGAGGGTGGTCGAAACAAATCCGACGGCATGTCGTGGCGGAAAGGATCAAGGATCGCGCAGTCCAACGTTGCAACATCCTTGCTCAATGGTGGCGCAGGATTGATGTGCAATCAGAAGTTGGGGGAAGGGCATGGCTCACTTTTTGGGAGGAATATCTGAAAGCTTGGCCGCGGGTTGAATCAGGTTTTTCTTCCAACCACATTGTTTATGTCTTGGACTTCGTACCATCAGCTTCCCTAGTCCAGCAGCAGTTTTGTAATCTTCGTCCCTAAATACCTTGCACCCAGTTCTTCGAAACGCCTCGCACCATGGATCACCTCGATGCCACCTGCCACATGGAGACCACCTGGAGGCCATTTGTCCAGTTCTTGGCAGGTCCAGAGCTATCTGAAGGACACCTTGGAGCACGGAGCGGTTTCTGGGACCCAAGAGGGGAAACCCTCCGTCCCCCGACGGGTGGCTCGCTACGGTCCGGTCCGGAACCCCCCGCACCACCGGTGCCATGTTGGATGGAGTCACCGGTGCCACCGGCGAAGGGTTCCGTCGTTCCGCCGAAAGGGTGTTCGCCGGACCAGCGACCGTTGACGTTGGCATGGCGAAGCGTTGGTGAGCGTCATTGCACGTTCCCCGGTCGAACGGAGCTGCCCGGTCGGGCGGAAGGGGACCACGATCTGAGTGTTGCCCAGGTGCGTGTGGTGGGCACGGACCAGGTACGGCAGGAAGAGGTGGAGCAGTGGCGCCAGTGGCAGAGCAGTGGCGGACCATGTGAAACAACTGTGAAACAGCTTCTAAGACTTGAAATTTTGGATATGAAGGTGGCTGTTCGTCATTTTGGAGTCCCTGGTGTGGTTGGTTTTGAGAGGTAGCACTTCTATATTTACTTCATATAACTTCTATACTCTCTCCTTCCATTGATAATCACCCCTCGCTTTCTTGTGGCACTTGGTGATGTTACATCTTGCATGACAGCTTGGAAGTCTTACTTCTTCAACGCCCGTAGACCGGCTCACTCAGCTGGCCTGAGCAGTCAAGTAACATCAAGTTACTCATACCCTAGGCTTCCAACAACCGAATCAACTAAGGATTTACCACTACAAAAACCCGGTCAACCAATTTTTTGATGGTCTTGGAAGTGTAGGGTATATATTGAAACACCCCAAAACACCCCCAAGTGACATCTTCCAACATTCAGAAGTTCCTGCCCAGCACAACACATCGTGAGATCCTCGTGGCCCTGTCGTGACTACTAGGGGGTAGTCGTGTCGGCAGCACCATGCCGCATCGATGCCGCGGATCCTGGCCGCAGCGACTGTGCTGCTCCTTCCAAGGCACCCGGTTTCGTGCAGCGCCCTCGTACCGTTTTTCATCGATCTCGATGCCCCATCCGATTGGGGGCATGGACGGAGGTTCTATCATGATCCAGATGCCCGGGCTGTCCAGCTAGGGTGGTTGGAGATCTTATACTTACAACGTTGAGGATGCTTTCCAACTCGGCCGCGAAAGCATGCGATTCGACCCGAGAACGACTCGAGCGCCTGGTGGGTGAGAACGACTCGAGCGAGCACAAGATGGAAACTCTTCATGTTGAGCCTGTTGAACCATGGGTGCAAATCACCTAGGCTGAGAAGGATGAGGCGTAAACCATCATAACCTCGACTCTTGGACTTGACTTGAGTATTTGGACGAGTCATGACGTGTCTAATGCCACGCCTCTTTTCAAAAGTCTTGGTCTTTGATACACTTATGTAGATGAGAGTACCTTATTGATGATGTGACAGTTCATAGCAGTTTGATAGGCGGACAATTGGACAATCCTCATTGTCTTCTATTCTCATGTTGCTTTCCGTTAGTCTTGACAAGTCAGGCTCAACGCTTCTCTGAAAGCATTTTACATCCAGATCCCAGCCAAGCTGCAAGCTTTGGAGCAATGATCCTTTTCACAAACCTCTATGGTAACAATGCCGTGGTCCCCTTTGGTCCCCTTTGGTCTTTGGGCCTTTTGTGCGCCTACTCGGCAGGCTCCTCCGACGCACGCTGCTGACTTGGGGTCCGCTGGCTCTTTCGAGAGCGGCGCAGGACGGAGCACAGCGAAGACGGTGAACAACGAGCAGAGAGATTCTGAGAGGAGACCTCCCTGATTCGACCAATATCAGCTTCTATTATGATTATATATGTTTATATATGATATTACCCTAGGGCCAGGGCCTCCGTTTCGAAGGAGGGCCAGGGGTGGGTGCCAGGGGGGTCTAACCACCTTCTGAGGATATGGTTGGAGCCCTAGGGTTGTATTATGATTGATCCATTATTAATTTGTATTTTTGTGTTTACTTCCGGGCAGAGTCGTGGCCAAATGGTGTTTGGTGGCTTCCATGAGCTCCAGATGCTTTTCAGAAGGGCAACCATTCCAAGAGCATGATATCAGCGTAACATGGTGGTTCTATTCTTGCAGGGTGTTTACTGTATATTCTCTTCAAGTCTACCGCGCCTTTCAGGCACGTGATGTTGTTGTTACATTGTTGTTGCTGTTGTTGCTGCTTCAGGACAGTTTTGATTGAACTGATATTGATATGGGTCACATGGCCGTGGATCAAAACCAGGCTACCTTGCTTGACCTACCAACAAATGAGAGTCAAGTTAGCCCTGGTGGGCTGGTCCGGCTCCAGGTTGGAACGACCCAGGTCAGAGGGTGTACTCTGTGTGTCTCAATGTCCCCCACCTCCCACGACCCAGGAGTCAATGGTACCCAGTCCCCAAAGGGTCCCAAAGTCTTCAGGCCACGATCCACCAAAAGCCGCATCCAGGCCTCCGACTTGGTGACATTGCCAGAGGCAGCTTGAAGCTTCGCGACGTCTCGAGTGAAGATGAACGTTGGAGCTTTCAAATGATTCAGACCGAATCGTGTTCGATCATGTTCAATCTGTCCATTACTGCACTTCTGAGCCTTCTGAGCTCCAGGTGCTTTTGTTTCACTGAAGCTTTCCACGAGAAGCGCTGGGAGCGCTCCACGGCCCTGCGAGGTCGCCCGCTGCAACGGGCTCCAACTGCGGCCACAGCGGCTGATCGGTGGAGGGGCACAGGGCTCAGTCTTCTTGACCCAGGCGCCGGCGGGACGGAAACGCGTTTCCGCGGTTTGGGTGTTTTGGGCATGCGTTTCCGAGCGAGCAGCAGTGGCACGCATCATTTGGGATCATGGGATTTTTTGGTTTCAGCTTTGAGTGGGTAACTTTCGTCGCGGGTGACTGCTTCATGATGGAGCTTTAGTGCGTGGACATTACTTACTCTGACAGGGCCAGAGCCTTGTTGGAAGACAGGGCCAGAGTTCCTAGACGAGTCTGAACCGTTCATCGGTTGCTGCCAAGTCAAAAGAAAACATGTTTTTTTTTTTGTTTGTATCCCAAACTCTTGAACTCATTGGTGTAGAGTTGCCACAGGTGGAGAGTCAAGATGATCCGGCCGAACCTTAGCTGAGAGGTGTAGAACATTCGTCATCGCGGTGTATGGACGTCCAAATCAAGTGTTCATGGATGTTCGTGGTGACCATCGGCAAAGCAATCGGCTTTGGTTTTGCTTGGTTCGGTTCCGTTCTGCCGAGGTGTTTTCCGTCCGAAAACCGGCCTGAGAGGTCAGTGCGGGAAGGGCACAACAGGCGTTTGGACTTTGTTGGGGGTTTTCGGAGTGTTCGGGGGTATAGAAGATGGTAGTGGTAGAACAGTAGAACTTAAGCAGAATTTGTTCCAAAGGCACAGGAAGGAGTGGCTGCCCGATTGTTTGAACATGATGTCTCCGTTTCAGTCCTTTCGATCAACCTCTGGCACGACATAGTGTCCATAGTCCAGTGTTGCTTAGGTAACGTCGAAGGAGCGCCAGATGCGTAGCCGCGTTCTACCATTTTGATCCATTTTGGTGTTTAGTCCGCACAGGTGGAGATGAGCACCCAAGCGAAGCAAAGAAAGCAACCGACAGCCATCGCGAAGAGTACACAAATCAGGTTCAAACACAACCACGTAGAAGAATTGCAGTCTTTGCGTTTCAACATTTCCAGGCTTCAAAGCCATATCATGCCAGATCTAAGGTGCTAAAGGCCACTGAGCAGCGTTGAATTGGGGAGGATCTTGGGTGCCGTGGGCGGATCATGGGTGCCCTGGGCGGATACCTACTTGCGGAGGAGGGTCACTGTTCAAAAGAATTGGCTTAAATCCCAGTCTTCAGAACAGGCGTTGTTTTCTTAAAAACAATCAAAAAACACAATATTTAATCGATTCGCCCTTGGCAGGTCGAACGATGTGAACCCAATCTGACCGACCCGTCGACTTACAGTCAGCTTGATCCCCAAACATCACGGGTGCCACGAAACGATGAGAGCGACGCCCAAGTGAACTGCAACGAAGAAGAAGGCTCCCAACCCCTCCCAGCCACGGTCTTAACACATTCCATGCCACGAAGTGATTTCAGGATCACCGTCATCACCTCGTTCCGCACAAAGGGGTGCTGCCCACGTGCTGCCTGAGGTGAGTCGGCCCAGTACGGGTGCATCCGTCTCCAGAGAGTGTGCCATACTGCAGCGGCTGCAAGACGTGCCGAATATCGTGTCACCCGAATCCGCAAGTGTTTGTGCTGCAAATCGACTGGTCGAATGGATCTAGAAGATCTAGAAGATATCTTGAAGAGTCAGTTCCTTCTGATGTGCCAGTGCTTTTGCATGTGTGATGGCTGATCATGTTGATTCAACATGTCTGAGAAAAGCATGCTGGATGTCCATGACTTGTATAGTCGTTGCACCAACCCTTCAGGCCGACCGGGACGAACGTGGGGCGGTTTTGGCGATTAGCGTTCTTCCTGCCTTCGTTCGCTTAGGCGATGCGTGGAAGATTGTGTGGTGGAAGGCCGCAGGAGTAGCTTGCTTTGGCCATACTTTGCAGCACCTGGGACCAGGAATCCGTGGACTGGGCCGGGTGTTTTTATGGTGCGGGGCTTAGCTAGCACACCGGTCGTGATCATAGCAGAAGAAACATATCTGGGGTTGGCACAGGGGTCAATGACCGGGGAAGAAGGGAAGAAGTTCTCACTTAAACATGTCCCAGTCACAATCCTAGGAAGAGCCAGGATGAAAGGAGCGGTAGACGACTAGACGAGGCCGGATCCCAAAGTTCAAAGGCATTCACCGACCACTTTGAGATGCCAAGTAGATCCAAGTAGGGAAATGGACTTTGCATTTTCAGTCTCTGGGACTCGACGTCTTCCGATGCGAAAACGGAGTCTCAACACCGTGAATCGGTGAAGACTAACTGTTGGCAAGGTTGCCCGTCGTAGGCGAAGGATCCTGCTCACAGCGCTTGCATTCTTTTTGCACCAAGCGCTCATCTTCATGTCTTGGACGTTTCCAGACGCATGGGGTCCGGGCTTCGGGCCCGGTAGGCCCGAGGCCATGAACCTTTCGCCCGGGCTGGTCGAAGGCGACGCCGATTCCTCCGTCTTTCTTGCCGCCAGGATGCCACACAGTTGAGCTCTCAGAGACTTGGACGTGACCGAAGCGAGCGTTTGGAGGTTTGACTGAAGACGGGAAGAACACATCCCCAAATGGGTTTATTGTTGTCCATGCTCGACATGCAGTGTGTGTGTGTGTGATTTTACAAGACTCCTCAAGCTTGAGGTGTTCTAGCCTTGAGATCTCCTTCGATTCTGTTAGTATCATAAAGCCTCGTTCGGCGGCACTACATTCTGACAGTCCCCCTCCATGCTTTGGGTTCGGCATCTCCACATCGCATCATGAGGGGGGGGAAGCGCACGGATTGGCCCTCGTCGAAGCATCGGTGGCTTGGTCGCTCCCAGCATCACATGTTTCTGAAACAAGCGAAACTCAGAAAGCTGCAGATGCAGCAGGGTTCTCAAAGAACACCCAACGAACTGCTGCTCTTCTACATCAGTTACAACAGCAAGTCATCTACTGAGGGTTTGTCAGCTTTTCCCTCGCCTTTTCAGCATCGCCGGCACGAAACCTCTTGGAATATCTTCAGGCCGTTTCGTTGGCGTTTCGTCTCACAGAAGTCTCCTGTCTGCCCTGAAGTCTTCGTCGACGCATCTCGTCGTGACCTTCGAAAGTCGTCGACGCTTCCAGGTCGACCACCAGCGTGGTGTCCTTGCTGCAGACTGCGGTGCAGTTGCTGAAGAAAGGGGTGGCGGTTGCAGATGTTCAGGCGCTGAAGACATGGCAAAAAGAAAAGAAGTCGTTGTCTTCTGAAGAGTCATTTTCATGACATGATGAAGCGAAGATGAAGTGTTACCGTGTTACCATGCGTTACTATATACCTCTTCCACTCAAGCGACGAGTGAGACGTGGAAGGAGCGTGCTGCCCCACCACAGGTAGAGACAACAAGAAGAACCCCAGGTGAAAAGAAAGTTACCATGCGTCACTTTTGGCAAAGTTGATTGGATGTTGAATACATTGGATTTTGCACCCCTTGCCTTTTTCTTCGAAATGGGTTTTGGATACCAGTCCACCAACTGCGACCAAAGGCCAGTGTGAAAAGACAGTATGGAAACAGACTACAGCTCCTTGGCTTGTTTGGGCTCATGTCTCACAACATTTATCTGAAGAAAGCTGCTGATTCTTGTCTTCTCTGCGGAGGCCGCAGGTACCAAAGCAGCTCTTTGGGTCTCAAAGAGCCCAACCACGACCCAAGACACTGGAGGCTTCCCAGTGTGGCTGAGACCCGGTCTCAGTATGTCTCATTGTGTCTCATTTCCTCCCAACACTGGAGCACCCGCTGCAGGTGCTTCAGAAGAGCAACGGCGAGTTGCTGTGGATTGATTTCACTGAAGCAAAGCTCCTGGAGGACAAGTTGTCCAACGAAGCCCTGCCTGGGAGCAAGTGTACAGTCCCCAGTCTCCAGCATGCTGCCAAACAAAACGGTGGTGGCATGTGATTTTCAAAAGACATAGAAACTGGCAGGAAACCCTGGAGGATGATACAAGAATGCAAGATGTGTTTTGTGTCAAGGGCGTTTACCTTTATATAACATGGAGTTTGATGTGGACATGGATCGTGTCATGAGTTATTTATGACTATCATTTGCTGCCTGCTGCCTTCTGTTCTGCGCCTTCTAAACATAGAAGTAGCTGCTTTGAGCTCAGCTCGTTCATTAATCCAAAACAAACATGCCCACGAAGCCACCGATGAACATAGGAAACAGATCAAACGCTTCATGCACACAATCCCTTTGGAGACAAGCCTCACAGCATGGTCCAACATGACATACAAGAGGGGACCGGGGGCAGTGACCGGGGCATACTCGTCCGTATTGGTCCCTTCCCCCCCACTACGTCGTGTTAGGAGGAGGACTTCGAAGTGGCTGCTCGCAACTTCGTCGCGGAGGCCGTGGACATCGGTCGAAGCTTCGCCAGGCTCTCCTCGGTTGAACGAAGAAGATCCGCCCAGGACATCGATCTTCGAACTTCTCATTGCGTTCCATAAGATTGTGGTAAGCATGTGCGCTGAGAAAACCCACAAGAACGGTGCTTCTCATCAATGGAACAATTTGGGAAAATTCAGTGTTGGTATGTGCAACTGAAAAGCTGAGCTTGTTCTTCGTGCCTGTGAAGATGTTCCCAATCGAACGTTGCCACTTAAACTGATCGCAGATGATCTTATCAAACACTTACTTACTGAATAAGAGGTGAGATTTGGGGGGTTCTGTTGCACGTTTGTTTCTGTATACTTTGCATCTCACGGGGTTTCATAGTGGTCCCGGTGATATTGATTTGGTATGTACCGCACATGCTTTTGTAGAAACCATTGAATTCTTGACCTGTCTCAGGAAACCGCCTTTTGAGAGTAAGAAAAGCACCTCCTTGCACCATGGAACCACCTGTTGTGAGTGGATTTTGGACTTTTATCCATGTGGATGGTCGATTTGCCAACAAACTCGCATCTTTTGTCCTTAGTACATCCTTCCACCAAGGTTGCTAGATTTTCAGAAAGCCACTTCCACCGATTGGCAGATTCATCATGATTCCATGATGCAAATGGACTAACTTGATCGGATTGTCACCTATTGGAAAACATAGGATAAGAAGTGTGTTGAAATGTATCTATAAGTACGGCCCCTGATCATCGACTTCCAAAGGTCTTTGCGCTGGTGCCTACGACTTCGCGACCTGCTGCCATCCGAACGTTAGTCTCGTGCTGTGCAGAGGGAGGAGCAGGAGCCCTGGATCCACTGCAGTAGGTCGTAAGGCGGAGCCTGGACAGGACAGTTGCATAGCATTGTGCATACTGTAACAGTCTTCACTTAGGGGCAAGTTCCTCAGATCTCCAAGACATGCTGCAGATTGTAGATTGGGTTCCTGTGCAGAGCTTGAGCCTCCAGAAGAGTCCAATAAACAGATACCAGCAAAAGCAGCTCAAGCAGACTGCCTTGCGCAAGGTGCCAAGTCAGCTGGGAAATCCCACTATCCCGTTGTACGAGCAGACTGCCAGGACGCTATGGATATCTTTGGGCAGAGCTCCCTTGGTCAGAGGAGCTGTCACCGGGGGTTTCCACGCCATTGTGGCGGTGTTGTGCGCTCATGCAGCTCGTGAGTTCTCCCCCACTTCTTCAACATGTTTTGGTGGCTCTGTCAGAGAGCCAGGAAAAGTTTACAAGTTTCAGTTGCTAGGCAAGACGTGGTACATGGTTTTGAGGTTGAAACTTACTGGGCAGTTCTTGGACAAGTTTGGACACCATTCTGCGGGTCAATCATTTTTCTTGACGGCAGGAGGATATGCCGGAGCTAGGTCCGTGCTGAGCTGAATCTGCGGGGGGGAGAGCTGTTGGAGAGTGTGAGGAGGCTGCGACTGATCTGTGGACTGCTGTTGGAAAAGAGCTTCGAACAGTGCCCTGCCGAGATTTCGTGCAAAGATGTCTGTGAATCCAATTGTTGTTCTCGCGCCTATTTGTTCCCAGTCAGTGCACAGGCGTCATTGTTCCTTTGACTCAAACATTGTAGGAGTCGAAGCTTAAGCTAGCAAGTGCGTAGCTTGCCCTTGCTTTTTTTCCCTTTTCTCTTCGAAGAGGCTGCTTCACATTTGACACCCATTCACCCCTCAATTGTTCTCTAAGTTCTTTCACTACTCGTTTGACTCTGATTGCTTTCTCATAGCGGACCTTGCCAGGGCTTGGTGAAGAATCGGCCCACACGAGTTGTACAGCCCTTCCTCCGGCCACACTCTGATGTCAAGTGCGGTTTCTTCGAGCCATGGGTCGCCGCGTGCGACACTTTCTCGGTTTCGACACTGGCAGGTGGATTACAACCTTCGCGTGACAGTGAAGGGTTTGCAGGAGAGATTTATCGAGCACTGTGCGATTTCGCGGAAGGTGTTGGCGGCGATTTTGCTATAGTCTCTCCCACATCGATTTCGCTTGGTGACCCCTGGCACCAGAGAAAAGACAGCCAGCAACATTACTTGACTGCCAGCCCATGTGGAGGAAGCCTGGGGGCAAGGTGGAGCTTGCGTGCTGAGCTTAGCAATTGCTGGACAGTTGACAAGGTCGGAGGAAGACTGCGCTTCATCATACAAAGAGGTCGCTTTTTCTTCGACAAGTCCTGTTGTTCTGCCATGAGTTGCCAACTCACCCTGAAGCAAAACGGGACTTTTCATCCCTAGAAGATCTAGAAGGTCTTTGTTTCACGTGATGTGGAGCATTAGTTGTGTCACAACACCGATCAGCCATGCCAGGCTCAGTTAAACTGATGGGACCTTGCCGGCTTAGGTATCTGAAAGATTGGTATTAGGTGCTCAGGCACCCGGTGCACAGGTGACATACAGAAAAGCTCAAATGACACACACCCCGGCTTCTTCCAACTGGGTCACTCCAACATCTCAACTTTAGCCGCCTCATGTGCCAAGGCTCCATCCAAAAACATGTGCCAAGGCTCCCATCTCTGCAGATCCTGTTGGGATCCTCTGCAGATCCTGGTGCATCCTCTTGTGGTTGTGCCTCCTCTTTCCCCCTTTGTCCAAACAACGGCTCAACGACGCGGTACCGACCGCCATGTCGCTGGCCACGGAGCTGGTGGCCGGTGGCTTGGCCGGTGCCGTGGGCATCATGGCCACGCAGCCCATGGACACCATCCGCTGCTCGGTTTTCGTCGGATCCGGAAGGACAGGCAGAGGTCGGGAGGGGCTGAGGAGTTTCATCCAAGTCAGTGACTCTGTGATGAAAGCAGGGGGTTGAGTGGATGTACATTCAGGCTTGATGCTTTGAAGATGTACAGTCACTGCCTCAGCTTTGTTTGATCGCTACGCTGTGTGTCTTCAGCAAAAAAAAACAATTGAGTATACAGATGTATACAGTATTATAGATTAATATCGTTCCAACCATACATGCTCAAGCATGCTGAACCATATGCATAAAACAGGTCTGTTCTCCTCTGCTGACTCGCTGCTGACTGACACGTTCGCCCCTTTGTGACGTCTACGGTTTTTTCGAGGTTCGGCGAGGCACGCCGGCCTCGCTAGGCATGGCGCAGACATGTCTTGGTGGTGTGATGGCGCAAACATATTACAAACCACCACAGTTGCTTGGGGATGGTGCATTGTGATTCCTTTTTCCCCTGCAGTCGTGGTCACCCCCTCCTGGTTATGAACACTTCGTGAAGCAGACCTTCATTCGCCGCTGAGGCATTCGGCTGCAAAGTACCAGCCATGCTCTGGGACGAGCGCCCTATGCTGGAATCATTGATTGCTGCAGGTCTGTGCTCAAGACAGAAGGCCGAAGTGGTGAAACGGAAAAGAGTTCTTGTTGGGTGACCAAAAATGCAACCCGTTTGAAGGCTTTCCGCTTGGTCCTCCACGTTGCTCAGGATCTTTCGGGATCGAAGTGTAGGGGTCCTCCATGGCTTCAGCCACTTGTTTCGTTTCATTCGATTTCACATCGAGGCCTCAGGGGTCTTTGGAAAGGATATGCTTCGCCAACCTTCACAGTTGGCGGGATGAACCTTGGGCCAGTGAAGTTGGGCCAGATGTGAACTGGATGGATCGCTGGATAGATCCCCATGGATTCTGTCGATCGCGATGGCCTCCACCCTAGTAGCGATGGCCTCCAACGTGATTGCAAACTATATTGGACCTTTCTTTCTTTTCTTGTACAGGCATTGCGGCATTGCTTTCTGGAAATTCTACAGTTCAGTTTGGCATCACTACGATGGGTAAATGATAGCAAAAGACTTTTAGAAAAGGTTCCCTGGTTCCATTCATGTTCCAAAAGTTCCTTGGTTCCATTCATGTTCCATGTGTGCAACTCTTCCTGGCCTGTGCAGAAATTCGAGACGAAAAAATCTCGACATCTCTGAGGAACGCGATCCTCTTCTTAACCTACGAGGCCACCAGCCGCTTTTTGAGGGATCCTTCGAAGAAGGAGGACTCCTTGCAGTCCGGCAGCCCAGAGAAGTGCCGAGGAAAGCATGGTCCAGGTTGCCGGGTGGGTTGGAAAATAGAGAACCTGGACCATGCAACCTGGTCGAAGTTGCCAGGTTGGTGTATGAATGGAACAGGGAAAAGTGAGTCTAGATTTCTTCACGTTGAACCGTTGAACGTCACATATCACGCCCAATCAGTCAAAGGCACAACACATGCAGCCCCTTTTTTTGAGCCACCGGGATGTTGGAAGGGGAGTTCTTGCCTTCAACTGGCATGTTTGTGATGTGCACATCCTCAATCACCCCTCCCCGACGTGCTTCGGCCAGTGGCAAGCCAGTAGCAAGCGACGTCACACGACCCACCGGATAAAAAGAGCGCGAAAGAACATGACCTTGAAATCCGAAAAAGAACAAAGAATACGCTTGGTCCATTTAAAAAACCACCCAAAAACACCCAAATCAACACACTTGCCTATGTCCAAAACAATTCGCCCACTGCTTCACAGCCTCTTCCTCCAACGGCGACCACCGAGGACCGTGTTTCTGGCCGGCTGCGTGGCCGGCAGTGGCAGCGCATTGATCAATGGACCCACGGAGTTGGTGAAGGTCTTAGCACAGACCAACTTGAAGAACAAAGGCACCTTGAGTGCCCCCGGCAGCGTTCAGCAGCGTTGCAGCGTTTTACAAGGTGTTTTTTACGTTTTAACGCGGGGGCGTTGGTTTAATGGGTCTTTTTGGGGTTGATTTTTATGGTGATAAGGGAGGCTTGGGCGGTCGAGTTGTGTACTTGTGAATAGTATATATGATTTCATCGCCTATGGGTTTGTTGCTTTTCGGATGGTAAAGTGTCTTGTTTTCTTTTGATATGTTCTGATCGTTGTTTTGAAGGTGCATGTGTGTTGTCCAGTTGTTGCTGTTGATTGGTGTGCTTTCGCTGCCAAAGGTAGGCTTCATGTGACAACAGTGGGGGGCGGTTGAGGCGGCGAATTTGATGAATTTTACAGAGTTGGTGTTTAATCCGTGTCCCTATGGGCTGATTAATAGCTTGTAGGGTTCATCTGGAACCTAGCAAGCATGGCTTGGTCTTAAGATGTCTTAAGATATATCGTACACTTGTTTCCGAGATGCAATGGGACATTGATTTCGTTCGGTTGTGTCCTCTCGTTTGATACCAAGGTGAAGAATGGCCGCTTGGCGAAAAGTTACAATGTCAGCTTTGCAGAACAGGCTCATGGTCCCAGCCCCAGCGGTGTTTGTCAACACCGGCCTAGTCTCAGTCCTCATCATGTTTACTCCAGTAAGAGTTCTGATGGGTGCTCGGACATTTCCTGCTTACTTGTGCTTGTCTCCCAATGCGCAAAAGCTTTGTTCACTTCTACGCAGCCCTGTTTTGATATGTGGTTCTTGCATTGAAAAGGGTATTGCTTCGTCACCGAACTAGCTTGATTTATGTTGGGCTTCAAGTCCGCATGATTCAGCTTTCGGGAGTCCGCTACTTTAGTCATATCTGTGTGGCATCCTAGAGGTTCTTGCGGGGAGAGAGGTATCATGAGGAATTGTATACAAATATATATATATATCTATCACTAAGAGTATCACTAAGTACCTAGGACCTGAGTGACCTCTGTTTTGGACCAACCAAAGCAAACTGCTCCGGCGGACCTCGTCCGGGCTCCCCAACCATCCACGGCCGTCCGGTCGGTCGAGGCACATCGCCAAGACCTTGGTGCAAGAGCATGGCGTTCTGCATCCCCGTGGGCCGCTGCGTGGACTCGGGTCTCGCCGCTGACAAAACCGGTGGGCGATGATTGGGCGATTAAGCTTTTTTGGGGGGGGAGAGTTGGGAGGATGCTTTTTGGGGATGATTGTTGGTGATGACGGTTAGTGAGGTGTTTGGGGTGGTTGCTCTTGGTCTTTTGACGTGTTTTGTGTTTGGATGTGGTTGTGGTTGTGGCTGCTGCTGCTGCTGCTGGTGGTGGTGGTGGTGGTGTTGTTGTTGTTGTTGTCGTGGTTGTTGTTGTTGTTGTTGTTGTTGTTGTTGTTGTTGTTGTTGTTTGATCGCGCGGTCTTTTGAGGATTTGCCGGTGCTCGTTGTGGATTCAAACGGCTTGTGGGAGTGACGAATGGCTTTGGGGGGGATGCATCCTTGAAGGTCACCTGACCCTGGCTGACTGAGGGCCAAGATCCACCAGAGTACTACTCATCCAGATGACTGGGAGAGATGAAGATATTAGATCTTTAAAGACAAATCTTCAAATGTTTATGTTTGTCCTGTTGTTTCCGTTGTTGGTCTTTTCTCTTGTTTTGTGGCCCTGCTCGTGGCCCTGCCTCCCTACTTAAGTAAGCACTAGCCTAGGCCCTAGACGATGAGTTTTCTGAGACAGTCCGATGCTGAGGACCACCATCATCCGAGACACTCCCAGTGTTGGGCACCTGGGTTCGGCATGAGTAAAACAAAGGGGTCGGCGAATGAAGGTGACGATGAAGCAGGATAAGCTTTGAAAGTGAGTCTGGCAGGATTTAGATGGTTCGGAGACTCAATTATGAGTGCTTCATTCAGACCGAAAGTTCAGCTTTCTCAAACACATGAGTCACATGAGGCTCTGTGAAAGAGGTCTGCTCTGGAAGTCTCTTTCTGACAGAGGGGCAGAACTGAGACACCACCGACCGAGCGGGCCAACCAACTGAGCCATGCCTTCACGAGGTGGTCCGAACGAAAGAATGGTCCTGCACTTCTCCAGTGACCTCCGGCAGAAACCAACACATGGAGTCACTTCAAAATTTAACAGATCGTCCTCCTTTTTCTCAAAAGCACACCGAAGAATTGCCTCGTTGAACGGTGTTTTCTCTAATTCGCTTCTTTTGGTCAGCGAGGCTCTACTTCGTGGTCTATGAGTTGCTGACTCGGCAGCTGGGGAAAGGTGATTTGTCCAGCTTCGTGGCTGGCGGCTGTGCAGGAGCGCCACTGGTGGGATCGAACTCTGTACAGAAGCGGATGCAAGCGCTGATGGCACATGTATTGTAGACTCTTGATTCTTCATATGGGGGATTTAGTAATCAAGAGTCTACATGCACCAGACACAAGATGTGTTCCTTTCCGCATTCGTCTAGCGGCCAAAGTCTTTTGTTTGAAATCTTTGTCGGGCACCGACTCAGATGGACAATGGGACTGCAATTGTACGTCCCACATCCAGATGTTGCAACCTTTGCTTCTGTGTCAATGTCAGTGGTCCACATGAGCCCAGCGCACGCCCGCACGGTGCACGCCTGAGGAGCATCTGCATGGGCTTGCGTTTATCCCATTGATGTGATCAAGACGCCCCCTGGGCGGATCAGTCAGGGAAGAGGTGGTCAGTCAGGGAAGACTCATGTGTCTCCGAATCTTTGCGGGTCATTGTTCTTTGTCCCGCGCATGTTAGTGCTACAACTCGCGGGACATTGTATGTGTTAGGTTGATAAATCAAGCCAAGCTGGTGTCCATCTTGGATTGTTGGTGGATATACAGACTCCTTGCTTAGCGATATCCAGAATATCCCCAGTATCAGTCGCTGGCTCCCGTCGCTCCCGTTGCTCGAGCAAAACGGCCTCCAGTCGGATAAGCGGTTCAACGGGGAACTCCCATGTGGCACAGACACATCAGAAGGAGATCCACCCCGAAAGTGGTGACGTGTTCTTTTTCCCATGTGTTGTTGAAGAACACGGAAATAGGCACAGATGTTCAGAGGGTCATGTTTTTCCCATGTGCGAGGGTGTTATTAGATGTTAGTATGTCATTGGCAGTAACAATTGTTGAGTTCATCCGTTCCTGGTGATTCGTCATGATTATATAGTCCATATTTCTAGGTCATCTATGGTCATAGGGTCCTGTTCATCGCCTTTTCCGCGAAATCACCGGTCATCGCGTTTGGACCAACGGTGTCGCACCGTCCGGACGTCACTCGGTGTCGTCGTCAGGCGCTGGACGACGGCCCAAGCGGGCGTCTATTCTTCGGTGCTGCAGTGCTTCAGGCGACAGAGAGTGAGAAGAGGATGGGACGTTCTGTCCATCTTTGAGTCTCAGTGCAGATGGACTTATGAAGGTCTTCAAAGATGCAGTCTTCTTCTCAGAGACGTCTGGATATGTCTGGAAGGGGGCATGGTGAGGCAGTCGGAGCCTCCACAGCCCAGACCCTCAAAACTCGTTTTGATTTGAGGGCCTGGATTCTGGTGATGTGGTTGAGCTTGCATACAACGAAGCTGAGGAGGGACCAAAGACTGTGCAGAAGCTCGGGCCATGTGAACTCAGAAGGTGCCCCAGCAGTATGCTTTTGAGGTTTTGACCTCCAATCAATCATCCAGAAACTCCTTTTAGAGGTTGGCCTCCACTTTTTCAAGAATATTTAGAATTGTTGTTTCATCCGGCTGACAGGACGACAACCAAGCAGGGTGGTTGGGGAGCACTCTTAAGTGGCTTCTTGGATTTTCAGCGCAGCTTCGTCGCGCAGCACGGTCGACGTGGTGCGTCGTCGTTCTTCAGCTGTTGTTCGTTCTGAAAGATCCGACGGAATGAGACGCTACTAGTAACAAAGGGCATCGCTACGAACGGAGCGTTCGGACGCTACGAACGGGGCTCCTGGCCTTACTACTAGGAGCAAGACGCTACTAGTAACAAGAGCATCGCTACTAGTAACAAAGGGCATTACTACTAGTAACAAATAGCCACTAGTAACATGTGCCTGGAGTCTCAGTTTGTACTCGTATGTTGGAAAATGGGTCGACTGTACCTGTCTTCATAGGGTCATGTCCCATTTTCTATGATACTTTGGAGCGTCCAGGTGGTTCTTGAAAAGGACATTGCAGATCTAGTTGGCTTCGCTTCCATTCCTGCGCACTGAGTCATTTGGTTGGTCGCGGAGCGGCTCTATGATTTGGATGTTGCTGTTTTTTTCACGTGAACTATATTGCAGGGCTTCTGAAGAGCACAGGGAGTTGAAGTTGAAGAAGTCCCGAAACTCTGGAGCAATGTGAATGATCGGGTGTTCGCTCTCCAGTGCGGGACCATCTTCTGTTTCTTCATCACCATCCTGGTGTCATCCTGGTGCGAGTGGCCCCAAGCCACTCGACATCACGAGGAAACCAAATTCGACCCAAAATGTTGGATTTATGCACACAAAGGAACAAGTGCGTCCACCAATTCAGGCATTTCAACATCACAGTTAATATTCCTGGCATCTTTTGAGGATCTGGCATATGGCATATGAGCTAAAAAGATGAAAATTCAGGTATCATCATGTCTTTGTCTAGAGTTGAAATTCCTGACACTTCCTGGCATCGCGACTAGGAACCCGGGCATCGCTACTAGAAGCAAGGGACGCTACTAGTAGCGTCCTTTGCTCCTAGTAGTATGGCCAGGAGCCACTAGTAGCTTCTTCCTTCCCCCAAGAACCTCTTCATCCCAGGTTTCGGGGCTACCATGGCTCGCGCCTGGCCGCAGCATGCGGTGGTCTTCTGCACGTGGCTTGGGCGTTTTCTTCGGCATCGCAATCGTTTCGGCCACGTTTCATCGATGATGCGATGAAGGGCTGAGAAAGCATAAATTCAGATGTCAAAGCTAGAATAATGTAGACTTGATTAATAAACCGCCCATAATCCCCCCATTTGAATTGGAAATCTCCTTCATATGAGGGGTTTATTCATCAAGAGTCTACATTAGGTGGACCTTCAGCAGCTCTTAGACTCCCCATTGTCCGATCAAATCCAATCAG